TTAGGAACAATGGACACGTTGAATTATGGAGCTCCGGATCTTATTGTTATAGACGGAACGGATGTTTGCAGCGCCCCTGACCCGGGTTCAGTCAAACTCGTGCGGCAGTGAGTGCAGCGAGGAGGGGGGGGGTACGGGGAGACAACTGGGGTTCAACAAATGGACATCCTCCCTAGCCGAACAGCCTACAGCTTCAAACGAGCGTGCGCGGCGCCGCCGCTGACGACAACGTGGAACGCAGACATGTCCACACACACACAAAGAGACACGCACGCACGCACAGACAGACGTGCGACATAAACAAAGAGACAGAGCCCCCGTATAGCCTTGGACAGATTGTGGGGCACGCGAAGTTAGTGAGGACCTATGAAGGCCGGCATGGCACACGACCGGGTGGGTGGCCAACATGACGCCCGGCCGCCTTTGTCTCCCCAGTAGCGATATCTACACACCGCGCCAGGTACTTATGCGAGGCTGAGTCGACCTAGCGGAGGTTCAGGACCGGTTCAGATATTCGTCACTGGTGTTGGCCGTGAGCGGGAATCCAACTCGGGGTCGCCGGGTTCGTAGCGCACCGCAGCGCGCCAACCGCTACGCTATCGCTCTCCCCAGGCACATGCACGCACACACAGACAGACACAGAGACCTCATGTAGCCTTGGACAGATTGAGGGGCAAGTGAAGGACAGCACGGCGCACAACGGGGTGGGTGGCCAACACCATGCCCGGACGCCTTTGTCTCCCCAGTGCCAAAGTTTACACGCCACGCCACGTCGTCGTACGAGGCGGAATTGCCCGAGGGGAGGTTCAGGACCGGTTCAAATGTTCATCGCCGCTATTGGCCGCGAGTGAGACTCGAACTCGGGTGGCCGGGTTCGTAGGGCAGCACGCCAGCAGCTGCGCCTCCGCTCCCCCAATAAAAAACACCCACAGACATATAAACACGCAGACATTAAGCATGCAAAATGCAGACGTTCCCCATATAGCCCATGCAGGCTGTTGGGGCAAATTATTTTGGCGCGCACCGATTCATGGGGGCCATGGTCTACCTAAGGACCTTGTGGCCAGCACCACAGCAGGGCCGCCTTTGTCTCCTCAATACTGATGTATGTATACGCATCGCAGCAGGTGTTCCTTTAAGACTACGGCTACCCAGGGATGAACCAGAAACAGCTCCAGATAATAGCCCTCTGATGTTGGTTGTGGGATCCAAACTCAGGTCGCCGAGTTCGTATCACAGCACGCGAACTGCTACACTTACAGGCAGACACATACACACATCAATTTACACATGGACATACAGAGGTAAACATAGAGATGCCAAGAGACACAGGCACGCACTTGGAGACAGAGGCACATGACAATAGATACAGACACAAAGACAGCTATCTACAGAGTGCCTCGGTGGCGAGATGTTAACTACCTCGTCTGGTTTACAAGAGGTCGTGGGTACGATCCCAAACCTTACACTTGTACAATAAAACCATGGATTGCGAGTAACTTGGTCTGCGAGTGTTTTGCAAGACGAGCAAAAGTTTTAAATAAATATTAATTTTATAAACGAGCGAGGATGTTGCAATACGAGCAGCATTTCTAGACGCTTTGTCTGCCGAGCATCACGTGATCACAACTGATATACGAGTGCTTTGGATTACAAACACGTTTCCGGAATGAATTATGCTCGCAATCCAAAGTTTTACTGTATATTTGAAGTTGGTATGTTCTCTCTCTCCGTGTTGGCGTGGATTTTTCTGCAGTTCCTCCGGTTTTTCTCTCCACATTCGGAATCAACATGGATTCAAAGTATTTGGGGCTGCTGTACATTTCCACGTGATAAGCCACTTCGTTGAGCTATCATTTGTGGATAGCCAGGTCGCTTCGATACAGTTTAGTGGGCATTACCTGGTAAATAAGTAATATTTAAAAATACATTTTTTTAACACGCTTTTATGAAATGTACGAGTAATGGCAGAACTCCACGACTCCAAGAAGTGGCCCTGAAACTTGCCATAATGTAAGGGACAGTGGCCAATTACAGCCAACGTCAGTTGAGCGTGGACAATTAGACCCAAGCCGAAACATAACATAGAAAAATGTTTTAAAAATAGATATTTTTTAATGATAAAATATAGTATTGTCATCAGTATGACATAAGTATATACCAAGTTTGCAGTCGATACCACATTGGGAAGTGGGTTAAAATTGAGTTACAAGATTTGAGGATACAACAACAACAATGACAACAACAACAACAGACAGAGTGAGTTAAAAGAAAGCGTGTAATAAAAAATATATATACAGACACAGTTGCCCCATACAGCCTGTCCTATTCAGGTGCACACACACATTGCCTATGGGGAGGACACAACACACAGTGTTGGGGAGAACAAGTAACGCATTACTCTCCGATCAAATTAACAAACGCACAAACCGTAAACACTATAACCCCTATTCTTGGTTCTTTCGGTAAAGTCACGTAGAAGGGAAACAATAAAATAATAAAAATATAAAACAATAAAATTCTCACGACGTTTCGACTGCAACACAAGCAATCTTGCTGTGGTTTTCACACCTGATGATGATTGCTTGTGTTGCAGTCGAAACGCCGTGAGAATTTGATTGTTTTATATTTTTATTATTTTATTGTTTCCCTTCTGCGTGACTTTACCGAAAGAACCAAGAATACGAATCCCTGCAGTCACGAAAGCTTTAAATCAAAACTATAACCCCTTTTTCCGCGTGTGTGTATTCAGATGACAATTGTTTCTGCTATAAAAAAACGAAACTTCTTCCACAATCAATTTAGAGGGAGAAATGCTTGTCCATCATCGAAGTGATTTCAGGTTAGATCACGTAAATATAAAGGTGTCGTTTAAACCCGCCGCCATCCGGTGTGTTTAAGAGTAAACCAACTGCGTTTACAAAGAATTAAGCCAGCAGCTTGAGAGCAATATGACAAGTAATTGGATTGAATAGAAAAAAAACACACACAACTGAAACCGTTACAGCTGGAGTGCATTCTATTGCTATTTTCGACAGCACATTCGCCAAATTAAGTTCATTTCACTATTGAAGTCCCATTAAAAAAAAGCTTTGTTCACTGTGGCCTTTGAGTTGACCTTGGTTTCGGTGCGCTGTGTGGCTTTGCGAGGGGCATTTTATTTTATATATTTCTGTTGTCTTGAACAGCGTTGCAAGATGCAGTTTTGCATGAACGACACTACATTTATTAAAAAAAAACAATCAGAATTATACGAATCCGCGGTTTTGCACCATCCAATCATTTACACATACAGTATATGCATTCGAGTGTTTCACCGGGGTGTGATATATTCGCCAAATTAACGCTTTCCGTTCAAGTTATAGCTTTTAAATGTTCGCAGACGCGTCGCAACGTGTTTGCTATCAAGAGTGAGGCAACAGCAGAGACCCTGTGGACACACCTTTACGCAAATGAAACATTCCGTCGTGAGGGATTGTTCAGGTGAAGCATTTGAATATTAATCGTCATCATTCTCTTACATTCTTGAGTATGGCAGCAATACGTTCAGGGAGCTAAATGCCAACATCGAGGTCCTGCTGGCCACGAGAGCACAGATTACGGTGGGTTTATGAGACGGTTCATCGTTTGGGTCACACGGTCACAATCTCACTATTGTGGCTCGTCTCGAACCCTTTCCCATTCCGATGACATAGGTGTACGTCACCAGTTTCTTCTTCCAATTCCGGATGAAAAACTAAAACAAAATAACTTTATTGGTTTAAAGCTTTCGTGACTGCAAGGATTCATCTTCTTTGGTTCTTTCGGTAAAGTCACGTAGAATGAGAATAAAATAATAAATTAATAAAATAAAATAACACAATAAAATTCTCACGACGTTTCGGCCACAACACAAGTGGCAGTCTCGTCCCTTCACCTGATGAAGGCCACTTGTGTTGTGGCCAAAACGTCGTGAGAATTTTATTGTGTTATTTTATTAATGTATTATTTCATTCTCATTCTACGTGACTTTACCGAAAGAACCAAAGAAGAACTTTATTGGTACCGAGGCTCCCACAAGGCCATGCGGGAGGGCATGTGACACAGTTTGGTGCCAGTGGTAATGTCGCTACGGTTCTCTGCGCCGAGTAGCAATGCCTTTAAAAACAACGGCGCATTGCCTCTAAATAAAATTAACGCTGAGCCGCTTGTGAGATTCAGCGATGAACGGGACCCCAACCTGCAACTTGCAGATATCTCAACGTGAAAGAGTTAATATATCTCGATGTATCTATATGGGTCTCCATGTATCTCCGTGTCGATGTCTCTATGTATGCCTACAAGTCTGTGTGTGTGTTTCTGGCTTTACGATATAGCGCATGGTTATGGTTGCATGGCCATAATCGCACTACTGTGGCTCGTATTTTATTTTCCATTCATGAAGGAGGTGGGCTACACATCCGCCTGTTCATGTTCTTGTGCAGTCGACAGCTACACCAGTGTCTTCGAGGAATTTCAACGTGAAAGGGTTAATATATCACGATGTATCTATATGGGTCGCCATGTATCTCCGTGTCGATGTCTCTATGTATGTCTACAAGTCTGTGTGTGTGTTTCTGGCTTTACGCTATAGCGCATGGTTATGGTTGCATGGCCATAATCACACTACTGTGGCTCGTATTTGTGCAGTCGACAGCTACTCCAGTGTCTTCGAGGAATTTCAATGTACGCCGTCCGACATTGGGAAGCCATCGGAGCCGTGCACTTTTAAATCTACATCGAAAACCCATTTATCTTAGAACTGCTTTTGTGTTTAGTTTGTTGTCCCCACCCCAACCGCACCTCCGCTTAGCACGGTTGGCTACGTACGCTGCGATTAGAAGTTCAACAGCACGTAGGTACATGCACATGGAAGTCGTTAACGTCAATGGACGCGAGCAACGACGACGGACTAAAAATGACAATGGCGCGAGGCGATGACTGCCGCGGCGTGGTCGTGGCTCCTGCCCGGGGGACCTCACCGGAGCTGCTTGGCGTAGGCCAGCTCTATATCCGCCTTCTCCCGCGCAAACTTGGACAGTTTGTCGACAAACTCCAGCCCCCACGCCGTGTGCTTCTCCACATTGTCCAGCTGGTCCTGTACGCACACAGCAGACAAAGAAAAATAAAAATATATATATGTGTCCCCCGTGTGGCCTTTTAAAACAGACTGTCGGTCGGTGCAAGTGCTGGGAGCGAACACCTATTTCAGAATAGGAATATTTATTTATACTGAAGGAATCGAATGAGCTGTAAAGCTCATTTTCACAGATGTCCGGGTCAGAACGTTAAAGGGCAACGCGGCGCACGAGGGGGTGGGTAGCCGGCACCATTCCCGGGTCACGTTTGTTTCCCCAGTGAACACACACACACAAAGAGAAAGATCTCCCGTATATCCTTTAAAACAGACTGTTGCATGTATGTTGAACTTCTTTCGCAACGTACATAGCTAACCGTGCTAATCGTGCCACTTTCGAAACGTGAAAAGGGCCACTGTTGAGGCACGTGCTGGTAGCTAACACCTATTTAAAGGCAGCACACGAAGGAACCAAGCCTCACAATATTTGTCTCCACAGTGCACACACAAAGACAACAATCCCCCTTATAGCCTCAACAGACTTATGGAGCAAGTGCTGTTCACGAGCACCTATGAAGGCCGGCACGGTGCACGAGGAGGTGGGGTTGCCAGCACCACGCCCGGCCGCCTTCGTCTCCTGCGTGGCAATGTTTACACATTCGACCAGGTACTCATTTAATGCTAAGTCGACCTAAGGTAGGCCCAGGACTGGTTGAGATAATCGTCGCTGACGTTCACCGTCAGTGGGAATCGAGCCCAGGTCGCTGGGTTCACAGCGCAGCACGCCAACCGCTAAAATACCGCACCACACACACGCACACACACAAAAAACATTCTCTATTGTGCTGCACAGCCTCGATATCCAAAAATACGATGGCCTCTCTCAAAGTACCCACCTACACGCCTGCGGAAAGGTTTGGTCATCAAATGGCATCTGTCAGTCTCCATTAACAGCAGTCCTGGCTTTAATAGGATCCACCCTCGTACATGTACAGCGCTGTGTAAATGCACTGCCCGATGAGGGCCCCCCCCCCGCATCGCGTTCCAACGCGACTCTGAATTTGTCTTCACGTGCGTCTGGATTTGGGGGTTAAGTAATGGCTGAAACAATGCTGCTGAAATTATGCACTCCCAGAAGGCCGTGAGGCTCATGGGTTGCATAATAAATAATTTAATGATGGAGAGACGGAGATGTAAAGAGGACATTGTTATCCGATTTATTTTTTTATTATTCATCTATTTCCACAACGACGCAAATGATTATTCTGAGCGCTATTTGCTCATGCATCGCCTCGCCGGTACGTGCGGGTTTATGAAGGTGGGTTGGCACATAGATGTAGGAAAAAATATGTACAGCATAACATTGGATTTTGCTGCACTGAACAAAAAAAATAATATTATTGTTCATACATGCAGGCAAATACACATTTTTTTTTTACCAGGCAAGGCCCACTGAGCTATGTAGCTCTATCATGTTGAAATTTATAGCAACCAAATACCCTAAACACAGGTTTATAAATGTCGAGGTGCAAAAACCTGGAAGACCCGGAGAAAAATCCATGCGACCACGGGGAAAACATGCAAACAAAAAATATTCAAGGGTCACGGTGGGGATCGAACCCATGTTGAAATTTATAGCAACCAAATACCCTAAACACAGGTTTATAAATGTCGAGGTGCAAAAACCTGGAAGACCCGGAGAAAAATCCATGCGACCACGGGGAAAACATGCAAACAAAAAATATTCAAGGGTCACGGTGGGGATCGAACCCATGACTTTGTGCGTATCAGGCGAGGAAGTTAACATCTCGCCACCGTGCACAGCCCTCTGTTGCCCAGCCTGCAGCCCCCCACAGCCTGTAATGCTTGTAATGCAGGGAAGTCCCTCATCCGAGCACTATCCAGCCTGAACCCGGATGAGCTTCCAAGATACGATGGGTTAAGATGCATTCTGGGTGAAATGCTCATACATGCAAGCAAATACATATAATGAAGACATTGGTCAAGCAGCCCACGCAGCAGCCCATCCCGAAAGTAATAACAATGACACTTACGTAAACAGGAAAGTCTCACTTAGTCTAAAGAGTGTTTTTTTTTTAAAGGAGGGTCCTTCATTGGGATGTTTGGCCAGGAAATTCTAGGTCCAATAAGCTGGGTAAGACAGTATATTAAGTGCATAAGCAAGTTGAACAATTTGACACAACTGTTTAACACCGTTAGGCTTTCGCGAACATGTTTTGTTGGCATGTTTCCATGACAACCCTTTATAAATGTCTGTCGGGTGGTGGGTTTAACGACACATTTATATTTTTACACGATCTAACCGAAAAAATACTATTTTGGATGCAAATGAGGCTATTGGGCGAATATAACGGTGGGAGCTCAATGGAAGGAAGGTCGCGGTTGCCGACGATGCCTTTGAGAGGGGACGCCGCACGGAGACATTTAGGCTTGTTTCACTTTAAGAAGTGTTCTCGTGTCCTGGAGAAAACCCATCACACGTACTACGCGCAAGATGGGCATAGCACTCAACGATCTCACATGGATGGGTCACGAACCCATTTGCGGCACTGCAATATGCTGGCTGCCCTCGCGACCCAACAGCAACAACAGGCTTGGAGGTGACAAATTTCTACCTGATCTACTCACCCTCATCTCCAAAACAAACTAGGTAGAGGCGCCACCACACTCGGATCAGACGGAACGCAGAGATTATTCCCCGAGTGGTGAGGGTGAGTATTAACACTCGTTATTAAGATGCGTTTACCAATCAAATTACAGATGTTCAATGCAAGACCCAAGTCCAAAGTGGATGTGTACTCGCACAAGCTATTGAGGGGGGTGGGGGGGGGAATATTCTCAATTTGTGGCTAATGAGCCAGTGGAGGATATTCCACATTTCAGTGCTTGCCAGTAGTCTCTCCATAGGGTTAACACTGTCGCCGATTAATCACCATACAGCGGTAAGTATTGACCCTGGAGTAAGAGTCTAACTTATATGAGTCTCTGATTACGAGTTCAGCCTGGCCAGACGGGAGGTATGAAACTAAACTACTCAACTTTTTTTATCTTACCAGGTAAGGCCCCCACCAGACTATGTAGCTATTTTTAAGAAGCGACCTGGGCCACAAATGACATCCCAACGAAGTGGCTTATCACGTGGAAATGTATAGCAGCCAAATACTCTAAATGCGTGATGTTAATTCCAAATGTGGAGGGAAAAACCCAGAAGAACTGGATAAAAATCGAACATACCAACTCCAAATATACAGGCGTCAGGGTCTGAATACAAACCACGACCTCCTGTATACCAGGCGAGAGAGTTAACATCTGGCATCGTGCTCGTGAACAACGGGGCGGCGACTCTCGGAGCAAGTGCCTCGGACACAGCACAATCGAACGATGCCTTTGCAAAGAGCAGGAGTGCCGCACGAAACCAGTGGGCACTTTAATTAGTAAAGAGAAAGGGAGATAGCGCATCTTCAGCCTGGGCTTGGGGACATGGGCAGGGAGCCGACAGCACGGATGGCGGGGTGGGGTGGGGTGGGGGGGAGGAAATTTCAGATCATGGGGGGCATTAAAAGAGAAGAAATATAATCTTTGGTTCTTTCGGTAAAGTCACGTAGAATGAGAATAAAATAATAAATTGATAAAGTAAAATAACACAATAATATTCTCAATATTATTGTGTTATTTTGTATTAATATTCTCAATATTATTGTGTTATTTAATTTTGTCAATGTATTATTTTATTCTCATTCTACGTGACTTTACCGAAAGAACCAAAGAAGATGAATCCTTGCAGTCACGAAAGCTTTAAATCGAAAAAGAAATATAATGCTTCTGCAGAACCGAGGATGTTCCTGCAGACTCCAGAACGCTATCTCATGAGATACGGACATTTGTGAAACCACTGCACATCTGTGAAGAATTGCTTCATAGCTCATCGGATTCCTCCAGCATAAATAAAGATACTGATTCTTATATCTGGATCCCCGAGTCTGTGGATATTTTAAAAAGTCGTCTTAAAACATATTCATACACATTTCGCTCATGCAATTTGTAGCCAATTCCGCAAATGGCTTGTGTAGCATTACATGTGATTGTTTTGGCGTTTCTTAGTTTTTAAGTTTCACGAGTTATTGCCATGTCGAGTGTCTTCTGCAGCCGTGTCTTGTAGAGAGTTTTGAGATCCTTGATGAAAGGTGCTTTATAAATACAATAATAATCATTATTAAACCACAGCGGGGCATGGCGGGACTTGGGCAGAAACCACGTGCATAACTTAATACTCCAGCAAGCGTAACGGAGGCTCGCTCACCCGCCAGACCGGTTTGGCTACTGCTGCTGACAGACCAACTGCCAGGCATTAACTATTAATTTCGTCTCATGATAGGTGAGACAGTTTATCCTTTGTTGCACGCTTCTTTAGAAGGCACACACACACACGTAATGTATCCCAAGCATAACACCGCATCGCCTCTCTTACCGTATGGACCTTTTTTGTGACGGCAAACGGGCGAGTGCCATCTACGTGATTTAAAAAAAAAGAGTCGGGCAAGTTCGGTTTGGACACAAGTCAAGAAAAGTGGGACTGCCTCCAACATCATCTTACAGGGCAGAGGACAACCCAAGGTCAATGGGTGACTCGTGCGCCAACACGGACTTAAAAGCCGGCACGATACCTGACAATAGCCAACGAAGGGCAGGCCAAACGTGGAGAGTTGGGCAGAGGAGGAGGAGGAGGCATCAGCGGTGCCCACAGGACCATCGCGATTACGGGATGGATGATGGCAATGATGAGAGTCTACAGGCGGTGAGTTCGGTAGCTCCGACATGATAACCACGGCCGTCCGAGGGTGGTGACCTCAACACTACCCTGAGGCATGACTCACCTTGCTCAGGCACAGGAGCGTAAGGAGCGTGGTGGCAGGGGATGTCTTGCCCCTCCCCCTCTGCCCCGTGGGTAAAGCTACGAGTTGGGGACCCCTTGACAACCGCCACGAGATATGTTTTCAACA